CTCAAGCCTCTGAGTAAGTGTCATGGTCAGGCCTTCGCCACATGGACCACGTCTCTTATAAAACCTACCGTCAGCCCACTAGGTCCCAAAGCCGCCGCGTCTATCCTGTTTTTATCTCTAATACCAAGTCTATGACTTGTAATGCCATAGTCTCTTGTGTGCCAACCCACAAATGTTGTGGTACTGCTTGCTTTGGTTAAATCCCAACGTTTGTGGGTTGGCACACAAGAGGCTAGGGTATGAGAAGTCATAGACTTGGTATTAGAGATAGAAAGAGGATAGACGCGGCGGCAATGGGAGCTAGTTGGCTGACAGTAGTTTATATAAGAGACGTGATCCATGTGGCAAAGGCCTGACCATGAGACATACTCGGAGCCTTTAGCCTCAAATTAGTCACCCAGACGCAGGAGAGAGCAAATAACGCCTCGAGGAGCACAGATGAGGTGGCAGGGGTCGAGTGAAATATGTGAATCTGGGAGAGAGTATACGGATCTTACGAGGCAAGAGAGAGACTGTGGTAAGACCTAGGGAAGGAGGACTGCGCAACGGTCCAACTTTGGAAATAATTATGGATACAATGGACAAAGGACAAGGTGCATTCCTCTAAGTCTTCCTACCAATATGACCAAGTTGCGTAAACAAGGTCAAACAAGTCCTATATGAAAGTTACTTAAAAAAAATATACCCGTACTTCTAAGCTAAAAACAAGGTAGTTTTACAAAGGCATCAATTAACGAATGGGCTAGGAGCTTAAATACTTCATATACCTTTGAACCTCCTTTCCCTTGGATGACACTGCTGGATCAGTAAGATCCTCAGTAGTGTGAATCTTGGGTTCTAATATGAAAAACAGGAACGATAACTCGTATGCTACTACTAAAAATCCTTGGGAAAATTACCAAGTAAGAAGAAATGAATCCGAGTAGGAGCAAATTAATGGATCCCAGCAAAGAGAGAAAACCTTTATAGCAAGGAAGGGGAAAGTTTGCATAAAGGATGTCTAATCAGTTTAGCATAAGCCTGATCGTCAAACCGATATGCGGGCAAAGTTCAGTGTCATCATTCCAGGGGCAGCAATGGCAAGGGTTGCCCGCCCTACATTAGTAGTTGATCAGACTGCCTCGAATATCCAATCATGATAGGTTTAGTAGTAGTCCAAATCATTCCCCAAGGCCACGAATGATAAATCATATTGGAAAAAATAATAAAGTTCCGTACGAGTATACGTCGAAACTGTCAGTAATTCTTAAATAATAACTTAGTGAGTCCGCCATAAAGTCGAGTCCCACTGGACCACAGGGTAAATGTGACGTTTAAGTAGAATTGTCGATGTATCTTGGGAGAAACCTTTTTACTTTGAAAGTCGCACTTGACCTTTGATCCACTTGCATGTGTGGCTGCTTGGTGGAGTGGTGGTTTGTCGCCATAATGCACACGACCATGCTTAGAACCCCTTTGGGAGGGTAGATAGGAACTAAGCAATCCAACCCAGCCTAATCTTTAAACATTTTGGAAGGCAAGATTGAATTAGTTTAAAGCTCAACTAACGGGCAATAAAAACAATTTGGCAATTAGCATAAGCCCTTTCTAAAGACTAGTTTACTATGTATTAACATATGTACATATTTCTATATGAGTCTGCCAGAAACTACGGCTTAGATTATGACACTATTTGTAGTTACGTGAAACAACAAACGATATAGGAAATAGTACCGCAATGGCCTTAATGATCTCATGCTCAAAGCTATATTTTGTAGACAACGGTTGAACAGATGTCTAGCGAAAATTACTAGCAATAAACAAGTATATGAAGAATGGAGAAGAGGCAGAGATTACGACAAAAGATGCCTTCAAAATCCTTTTTTTAAGAATCCTTATAGATAAAATAAATGTTTTAATTTTCCATAGTTTCTGGCAAAATATTTGGGAAGATGAAAAGAATATACTTAAGTGCTGATGAGTTCCAGACTCTTCTCTCAGAGAAAATAAAGATGCTTAAGGTAATGCACAGAGGTGTACTGGGCGATAAAGAGGGTTCAATGAAAAAGAGGAAAAGCGAGCAAAAGGTCCGCATAAAGAGGATAAATTTTGGCGTTGTAGATTTTGATTAGGGACCTCTTTGAGCGATCACCACAGCACTTGGGCATAGGCCTGAAAAAAAACAAGACATGAATGTCAAAATAATTGCCATATATTATATATCTATTACTGAAATGGTTGTAAATCGTAAGCATTTCACAGTTAATAATCTGAAGATGCACCAAATGAACAATTAGCTCACTATCCAATTATACTTATTATTAGCACTAATATTAGTTTTAATACAATAATTTATAAAAGCATCAGTTAAAAAATATAGATCACAATGAAATTTATTAATGAGGTATTGATAAAAATATACCGAGGACCAAAGTTCACTAAGATTGCATGAGTTCAATATAAAGATACTTTTACATTCAATAGCCAGAGGCATATGTGCATAATTGACTCGTACTTTGCAAGGATTAAACCCTAGTGATGGAATTCTGATTCCAATCTTGCGTAATAATTGGGAGAATGAAATTAATGCTAGCCTGTGGTTCTATATTAGTAGGTAGATATCTATAAGGCTCTCTTCACAGAAGACGACTAAAATTTCGTTAAATCAGTTGGAAATATAGTTGGCTAACGAATGAGGACGACGATGACAGTGCACAGATGCTTCAAAGCTTATCAGTAAATAGGACCAGGTTTAAAAAATAAAATAAAGCCAACCACAGAAATTGACACATTATCTTGATATTCAAATTTGCCATTGCTAAAAGACTCAAGCCTAATTTTAAGTTGAAATATGCTATGACAGAAGTGCAATGAAGGGCAGCTCAAGAATGAGATCCTCTCGCCCTAAATTCACCCCATTTCTATCAATCCAATCTCATATTCGTCTAGCTCACAAAAATAAAGATACGTGAAGCCGTTATGGAATTCCCTAAAAGCCCTACATATAAACGGAAAATAAGTGATGTAGGAGATTGCAGTAGCAAATATAACTTTGCTTTATCGACAAACCCGCCAAAGAAAGTGAGATGGGAAAATGCCTGACCTTCCTTGAAATCCACATCTGCCCTGTGACCCAAAGACACCCGTGGCAATGTGGCATAGTGATTAGCATGTCAAGATTACACGCTGCACTGTCACGGTTCGAGTCCCTCTGGGGGTGTTGACTAGACCTGGGCGAGGTCGGAACTGCAGTCCACCCTGGATGAAAACACCTTAGGGAAAGCAAAGTTGTGTGAAAGTCAATGGAAACGTCAGTTCTACTCATATCATTGTTGGAAAATTCTACTACCAGACCTTCATCACCTTAAACGAAATAGGGCGAAGATGTTGCCCTTTTATCACCAATAAAAAAAACCAACAAACCTAAACTGGCCAAGTTGGCTTGCATCTCGTCATCGGAAAATACTCGTTTAGGAAAGCTTGTCAAAAGTCGCAGCTGTGCCGTCGTCATGCCAGGCGGTGCTTGGGCCCAATTTTGGATGATGTAGAGGGCCACAGCACTAAGTGGCTCGCTAGCCTTGAAGTGGGCTATGAGTGGAGGGCCCGAGGGACAACGAATCTGCAGACGGCACTGATTAGTTGGAGTTGGAGACTCAGCCTTTTCTGGGACTTCCGCGATGGTGGGCGGTTTGTCAGACGAAGGATTGGGAGAGGTACTTTCAGGAGAGAGACCTTGCCTTAAAGCCAGCTAAGTAATAAAAAGAACGTCCAAAAGGGTGGAAAAATGGAGATGAAAATATGAACAGGGAAAAAATAAGAAAATACAAGATTTATAGTGAAAAAAGACTTCACAGAAGTATAGTGGGGAATTCTAGTTACCATTGAGCTCGAAATTATGCAATAAAATGTGCTGACTGTCTTCATCAAGGAAACTAGGCAGTTCTATTAAAACCAGAGTCATCAAAGTGGTGGCGTAATTACCTACACAGGCAACAAGAGATCCCTTTTTTCCAGCTGTTTATATGAACGCACAAACAAACCACTCATCTAAAAAATTTTAATTAAATGAAAACGGCAGCTGATTATTAAAGACTATTTTCTACATACATAGGATGATAATTCATTAGAAAAATTGACAGAAATTTATTGTTTCGAGCAAACAGTTTGCTGCATAATATAAAAGGTGCAAATGTAAAGAGGAATCTTAACGAGGCAAGTAATTTTATTTTTACTATCGCTTAAGGTTTTAAATTTAGACAGCAAGTGGTTAAAGGTGTATCAAAAATACAGCTAAACACAAATAACACATGCTATAGCTGAGTTAAAAGTGAATTAAGGCATTTTCAAGTACATATAAAAAGCGGAACTTACTTTTTCGGCTCTTTCTTGTGCTATCTGCCTTTTTAATGCTTCCCTGAAAAGTGGAAAATTCATTTAAAGGGGTCAAAAATACCAGTCTTATATTGGTTGAAAATAGTCAACGCATGCAGTAAATGTGCTTGAACATCAATGTAAAGCAGTGGAATGTGTAGAAAGGCGATAAGATCAAATTCAAGTTACAGTACATCATTTTACCTCACCTGAGATTCACGTTTCGAAAATGTATGAAAGTTATATAAATCATAGTTAAGAATAAGTACAAAGATGCTCTCTGAGATCATCATATTGTTGCAATAATCACTTTTGTTTGATAAAGTTTAGAAAAGCCAGAAACAGTTCTGCTGTGACATGAAGGAAGAATATTCATAGTGGACCTTAAATCACCGTAAGTGATTAATGGCGACTAAAGTTATTGTAAAGAGAGACTACATTAGAGCTGTTAAGGTAGTCACAAAGCATAAATGCCAGGGCATATATTGCTCAAATCCCGACGGGCCAAGAATAAAATTTCTTCTCACATCTAAAAGACAACTGTGGAATGAAACATCTCTAAAACTAGACCTATGGATGCAATAGGGAGAGAATAAAATCAGGGCTTTACAGCTTGCGCTGATATTGGTTCAGCTATATACAATGAGCCTGAAGGAAGAGTTAAGTCGCCAAAAAGTGCGAGTGATACTTTCATTCACTCGCACTGGCAGAAATACTCTAAATCAGGACCTCAGCAACCATGTAGAAGAGCATAAAAAGTAGTTCCGCTGAACATTGTATGCTGGCTGCGAATGTTTATCAAAGCTATAGTGCTCTGTACGTATAAAAATAGGAAAGTGACCTGCCCGCTTTAAAGGAAATCTTTAATTTGACAGTGCCATTTGAGATCACCAGTTTCTTCTATAATAATCACATCGTAATAAGTATGACAATCTAGACTTTATAGAAGATTTGTGTATTTAAATGCCTTCAAACTCCAATTCATTTTACATATGCTGCATACATGCATGGAATGGATACACTCCAAGCTGGGTTCATCATGCCAACCCTCCACAATACTGGAAATTAACATAACTTGTGTCATAACGGATAAATATCCAGAAGATACAAGGCTGCAGATGGAACTGAC